ACAGCTCCCTGCTTGCGACTTGAGAAAAAGAAGGGAGCTGACCGGTCGACGACTGAGCTGCATGTATACACTTATGCCGACACATGTTTTTCTACTTTTCTGCATTGAAAGCTAGAGTGAAGATGCTGGATGCTTGGACACTGACAGATGTAAAGGTCGGGGTGCAAACCCTCCGTGAGGCAAGACGCTTGGCATGTTCCCACGCCCAGTGACTCAGCGGATGTACCCCTGGTACAAATCGTATCTTTAGTTTTGATGCAGCAAGGAGGCCTGAGCCATGTGTAGAGGATAGAGCATTCTGAGAAGCCCAAGCATTGGTACTACTCCTGTTCTTGCGTCCCTTTTTGTCAGCAAGGAAGAAGTAATGGAGGGAGGGAAGCAGGGAAGCAGGGAAAGAAGGAGGGAAGGAGGGAAAGAAGGAGGGAAGGAGGGGAAGGAAGGAGGGAAGGAGGGAAAGAAGGAGGGAAGGAGGGAAGGAAGGAGGGAGGGAAGGAGGGAAGGAAGGAGGGAAGGAAGGAAGGAACCAGACAGACCAAAACCAAAACCACCCAAACCATAATTTAAGCGCCAACCCAAAGCCTTCATGCACAGAAAGAGGAACTTGACTTGCCATAAGTTCATCTTTTGATAATCTCAATCTGTTTGCAACTTCTGGCAAGTCTCTTACTCACATTTGCTTGAGAGTTTTTTTGGTTACGCCGGTTACGTTCTTCCATTTAGAGTGTGAATTGGACACAACACGAAGACATTGCTCTTCACGGGTACCTTCGTTGAGTCGATTTCTTATTTCACAACCCCTGCAACCCACTTATTGTAGGCCTTGAGTGTTTTTGTGTCCATGCGAGCCATAGCCCAGACTATATCAGGTATACAGGTGCGAAGAGCAGCATGGATGCAAAGGGTCGGTGCTTTGGCTGCCAACGAGTTCCTCGATATCAAGTCTGACCAAATCCTGACGAATTGCCAAATCAAGTCTGGCTTGCTTTTCTTGGGGAGCCACTCTAGAGCAATCGCGACGAGGGCTCCAGTAGATCAGCTTCCCACAGCAGCTTGAAAACGAACGGAAAAGGACAAAAACCCACAAACATGCGATAATATAGATTCTACAAAAGACGATACTGCTCATCGGATGTACTGCTAGTAGAAATTTGGTCTTATAGTACAGGCCAAGCCAGGCCAGGCGAGTAAGAAACTCCGGGAAAAAAGTACAACAGTTCTTCCATTTGCCTAACTGTTTTAATATCTTCCAAAATATCGTCCCTATACTATAATTACGGCAAGCAGATCCGGGCCACGCGTGAAGGATAGAGCATTCTGGAAGCTTAAACCAGGCCCGAACAAGCAACCCTTGTGAATGGGGGACCTGCCCTCATGTTGGTTGTAGTTGTGACTCTTGTGACCATCGGAAGCGGGGGGAAACTCCGCGAGCCTGACGCCTTTTGAGAAAGCGCCGATTCTCAACCTCACAGTGAAGGTTGGGGAACTGCCGCCCTTGGCAGCGGGCTTGTCTCATTGTAACTGTTTGTGAAGCAGGTGCGATCTTCAAGCGCTCTTTGGAGAGCTTCATTGAAGGGATCGTATGCTGACGCATGCAGTTGCAGATTGTGGAGTGACACATTGGTCAGAAACGTCCAACAGGGCACAGTGTGTCAAATGTTCTGTGATGTAGGGCAGCGTTGTTGGTACAGCCTTGCACTCTGACTTCAATCATGCCAGAGCTGGACCATCCCAAGGCGGCGACAGTCACGAAGAACCCTCACAAGACTTGGCTTCATTTCCTTTCCCAGGCATTGCACGTTTTCTGAGCCGCAATATTGTTCGGATGGGGTACACAGAGTAGACAGTAGACTGTAAGGATTGACAGTGACAGGTTTGGTCGGGGATGCAGGCAGGTGCTCTCGGAGCTTGATTTAGTCCTCAAGCATCCTTTTGAGATAGGACAATGTTTTCCATTTCAATCCTTGTGCGTTGAAATGAATACTCCAGAGCCTGCCACTGCACGGGACCATGACCTTGTCACAGCAATTTTGAGAATGCGTGCGTGAGGTATGCGTTCTTGGGGAAAAGTGACAACTGTTCCCATTGCATGGTACTGTACAGATGTCATCCGACCATTGCTTGGTGGATGGTTCCTCGGATTTCCGTGTCAAGCCACGATTTTCAGCCCGAGGCCTTCCATTCAGGCCACCCTTTTCGAGAATGCCCAAGAGTCATTTCTTCGAATGAGTTGCAGTGGCTCGAAGCTTTGTGCTTTGCACCACAACACCGTTCGGACGTGGTTTGAAGGCTTGCTCGCCGGACAGCTGCAATTGATCTGCTTAGAAATGGGGGCCCTTCCACACTTGCAGATGCGGGAGAGTACTCATGGCCCTTCAATAATATGACTCCAGCCGAGTGATAGTTAGATGAGATATCATTTTAAGCTCTTTGTAGATGCTTCAGATCACTCAGCCATCTTGATTTCAAGTCTTGCTGTGCTGCAGAGCGCGGGACGCTTTGGGCCAAGTTGGAGTCACAATCGCTCACCTAGAGCCTCCCCGGAAATGCGGCAGTGGGGCACGATGCACAGCCTATCGATTTTGTACAGATTCTGGCGGCGCCCGACTAGCCGTCGACGCAGAGACCAAGGCAGCTATCGAAACAGTCCTGCTGCCTTTGCGCTGCATGCCTTTCGTGTGAGTACTAGGAACAAGAAGCTACTAGTAACAAGGGCATCGCTACTAGGAGCAAGAACGCTACCAGGGGCTCACTACTAGGAACAAGAAGCTATTAGGGGCTCCTGGCATCGCTTCTAGGAGCAAGGATGCGACTCGGAGAAGATGCTTTGTCCGTCTCATTTGGCTGGTGAGGTATGATGATTGGCCTGGGTCATGCGGTTCTTGCAGTTGCACTGAACTTTTTTTGGCCTGGTCACCGATTCAACGCGCAGTGCGACCAGTTAGACAGTCATATTAACAATGACCAAGGCTTGATGCGAGATGGGGCATCACAACACTACTCTTGGTCCTTTTCCACCAGAGTGAAGCTCAGAGTCTTCTTCCTTTTAGTGGAGTCCTCGACAAATGTTTTGGGTAAAGTCGAGTTGATCGTTCAAAGTAGAACCATGCAGAAGCGCTTCTGCATGCTTCTGCATACTGCTCAAGTCCAGGCGCCTTTTATCCCAACTTAGGCTTGGTTTGAGCAGGCACAACCCTCGAGGCACCGCTCCGAAATCACTTTTCAGGTTTTGACAAGTCAACCGACCAATTTTAAACTAGTTTCATCATCTTCAAGCATCTAGGCTTCAATGTGGCTCGTTTTACAGCATTGCTGCTGAACGGCGTGCTTGTTGTGGTGGTCTCATCCTCACTGTCCTCGTGAATTCACTGTGTGCGTTTGTTCGGCGTTCAACAGGCTGTACCGTGCAATCACTTTTCACTTTTCATCATGCGCCCAAGTTTCGGTGCTACAGTCTGCCCAGGTTGGAGTGGTCGTGCTGACCCTTGCCCTCCCTTCCTCGTTTGGAGAGAAGAGCTTTCGCCCATCTCTTCTTGAGCATGCACATACCGAAGCAAGTGCTCCATTTTTATTTTTTGAAAGACTCTGGAAAGGACATTAAAGGACTATGTAACTGTGTGTGCTGTCCGTGCTTTTGAGTCAGAACAGACTTGTGGGTGATGTCGGCATGCCAGGCTACTCTCAATGTCAATAGTGATTGGTCCGCTTTCTGCAAAGAGGGCACACCTGGATGCAAGTACTACGAGGCATCCGCTGTGTTCTCGATTCCAGTGCAAAAAGATTCACCAGATTTGTGTAACATGGGAAGTCACATGGGGACTTGAAAGCTACTGTGGAAACCCTGATCTTTATAGAGACGCACTGGCGGACCAATGGCAGGTTCCCATTTTCAGTGCCAACACTACAACGCCCGTCGAATGCAACCAGCACTACACCTACGGAGTGCGTGGGTACGCTTTGCCAACGCAGTCTCCTTGACCTTCTTGCTTTCATTTCTGAACGAAGTGCAATTGTTGAAATGGCGCAGGGAGAAGGCCCTGAGCATCCCGGACTTCGCACTTTTCTCTGCCTTGGCATATGAATCTGAGGACGCATGGGGCCACACAGGTTTCTTGTATGAACGGCATGAAATGGGGCTGAAACCTTCCGCCTTTGTACCTCGCGTAAGGTGCTTTTAAAATTAACAGCAAGAATGAGAATCGAATACATGTACTATAGTTTTATATACGATTTCTTTTCTTCTATTTCTTTAAGCCCGCTCCTACTTAATTCAGTAGGCACCCACTTAATTAAGGAAGTAAGCTGCTGGGCTAAGTTAGTTCTAGCAACAGGACGCAGGATATCTCAGGCTTGCACTAATGATTTGGTTCCTAGATTTTGAGGGAAACTTAAGCATGACTGGACCAGGATGGCTTGCCACGTGGTCTGCAACGATCTTTGGCCGCAACGATCTCTTCGCCCAATGGTTTGTGGCCGTCGTTCGAGTATATAGGTGTTTCAATCCAAGGCTACCATCCTGGCTGGAAGCTGACCTATTCACGCCGTGCAGGTACGAAAGATTAGTGTCTTCCATATTTTATGTGCGCTTCTCAAGACCTGTGGATGTCATGGAAGATCCAGTATGGGGATGTCATGGACGTGGCAGGCACTACAGATGCAGAAGCCAGCCTAGACTGGACTGCTTTGTCTTGCGTGTCGGTTGTAGATCATTATTCCGATTCCGATTATGCTTTGGACCTGCTGCCAGACCTCAACTTTCGATGCAGGCTTTAGCACCAGCTTGCTCGGACAAGGTGTCAGTCACCATGGATGAATTGCAGCAAGAAAGCAGCATAGATTCGTGGATGAAAAACTCAGTTGTTCCCAAGGTGCCAAGAATTTTTAGAAGAATACCGACACGCTGTGACCGTAGTTTGGATTGCTGCTGCATCCTATTTTCCTTGGTACTTTGTTCCCAAAGGGAGCAAAGGAGGGCCAGACAGCAGCCATGAAGTACCCACATCATGCAGCCGGCCAAGCAGACTGAAGATGCCCTCGGACCTTTGCAGAGGCATCTCTTGGCTGATGTCCTTGTGAAGCCAGACAAGGCATGTAGATCACACCATCACATACTGACACTGCAATCCAAAAGGGCACAAAAATACAATTTTTTTTCAGGTTCAGACATGTGTTGTCACTCTTGTCAGGCCAGGGCGCCTGCCTTGGCCCTTGGGCTGGCCCACGAAAGCTGTGGCGAACTTGGAGGCAGGCGCCGCTCACGGTGCCGCCTACGCCCTGTTGCAGCAGCTCAGGGTGGCCAGGTTGGGTCCTTGGAAGCTGAGAACTCGTCTGAACACGCAGTGCACCGTGCCACAAACGTCGCTGGGCGCTGAGGATTCCGATTCCCCTCTTCCATTACGTGCAGGCCATAAGGTGGTGGTCTGGCGCTTGGGGCGAAGCTTTAGCGATCTTCCAGATGGTGCAGAGGGGTCGATTCCGGAATGCCTCAGTTGCCTTCAACGCGACCATGGCCACCTGTGTCAAGGGATCACAATGGCAACGCAGCTTAGCACTCTTCCAGGACGTCCGTCTCCCGGTGACGGTGGTGGGATTGGGGGATGGATCATATCTAGGAGGTACTGACAGGCTTCGCCAACCGACGATGCCCTTGGGGGGGACTGCACGTATCCGCAGGGTTTTCGCTGCAAGAGAAGGGTTCAAGGTCATGGCAGCGCGATACATAAATAATTTGCAAGGCCTATTTTTTGGTCAAAGATGTTGCTTCCAACCATGATCAGATTTGAAAAGCAGCCTTACTAGACTGACCCAGTCCACGTCATTCTGAGTTCTTTAGATGCTTATAAAGCCCGCTCACGCAACACACGACGCACCCCATCTACTAAAAGCCTGGCAACCTCAACTTCAGACACATGCACATGCACACCCGCACCCGCACGCACACGAAAGCACACGCACACACGGGCGCGGGCACACCCAATGGGTGACGTCGGAGCCACCTTGGCGTCAGCCAACCCTGTAAACACAGATAGCTTTAGGCTACAACATGCTCAAAAATGCAGGTTTCTCCAGCGTTTTCCCACGCCAACCCTACAACAAAAATGCCCTAGTTTACGCTGTTTTTGTCCCCTTGCATGCTGCCTTTTTTCACTCGAACTTTGAAAAACCCTAGGACTGTACAGCATTTTTCGCCTAGTTGTCAACCCCGCCTGGGCATTCGCTAAGCCGGGGTCGGCGGATTAGGATGTCCATGAGGTCCCCTGAAGAATGAGACGAGAGATGTGGCTTTGAGGCCATGACGACCCCCTCACTGACCATAGAGGCGTTGGTTCTTTCACTGTTTTCCGGAGATCAAAAGGACATCACTTGTTGGCTGGGTGATGCCCGTGAAGGTTCATGCCTAGAAGATCAGGCTTTGCTTCTGCACATGCAGGAGATGCAGGAGAAACAGATCTCCTTCACCGCTCGCAGCTTCAGCTCTGCCATTTCCGCTTGTGCAAAGGCGTCCTTGTGGCAAAGATCCTTGGACCTTCTGAAGGAAATGTGGCAGATGACCTTGTCAAGGCGCAGTCTTTCAAATCGGCAAGTTAGAGTTACAGCATGCAGGTATCAATGTCATGTAGCACTGTGCTGCGACTCGCACCTGTCATGACGACTTAAGCTGCCTTCTTTTCAAGTGCCAGGAACACCATCACCTTCAATGCAGCTGTGAGCAGCTGCTCAATGGGTGCACCAGCAAAGATTTGACGTGTTCAAGTTCAAACAGAATTGGGACATTGCATTACTGTAATAATAGAGTCACTGGGGGACGATGTTTGTGCCACCGGGTCGGAAACCAAACGTGTAGCGGTTCTCATTTACCGATTGTTGAAGTCATGAAGTCAAGTTTTCTTTTCACCTTTTTCCGACCCGGTGGCCATTGGTGAGAAATGACTTGATTGTTGGTGTGGGGGGGGGGGGAACGGGCTGGGGGTGATTTTGTTCAATTCACGATTTCGTTGAGTCGCAGCAGAGTCTGGACAAGTCTTCAGTCTCGACATGTCGGGAACTCTTCGACACCGGAGCTGCGGAGCTGCGACCTTCAGATGCGGATGTCATATTGTGCTTCTCATGCGCAACATGTGAGAATCCTTATGCAGCTTGTTCAAAAGAGCTTTCAAAGCCACTCTGTCCCTCAGCCGTGCGCCAAACAAGAGAGCGAGTTTTTGCATGGCCATTCTATGGCACAACTTATTCGCAAAAAAAACATCTTTGAAGCGATGCTCCGAAAAAGACATAGAACAGCAACAAATCCTCCTGTTTGTCCCATTGGTCAGTTCTAGTGTTTTAAGGTAAGCATATGATAGTTTACATCATTGAGTCACTTCATCCTGTTGTGAAATGCGACTACGTGTTCGGTCTCCAACCCTTCGGGATGTTTGTGATGCACGAACGCTTCTTTTCAGTCGTGGGCAGTCAGATTTCTGCCTGTGAAAGCCCAGTCCCACTCCAAAAGTGCAAACATGTGACATGGGTCTCATGAGTTCAGGGGTTGCAGAGATTTCTTCAAACACTTCAGGTGCACAGTGGCAAGCTGCCTTAGGCCTCTTTGAGGCCATGAGGCACCTGCAGCTGCGGAATCTTGGCTGGGCGTTAACCTGGAATGTCCCAGTGTGGATCAAGTGTTTTTTCAAGCAGGTCGCAAGAGAAGGCACAACATCCACCACAAAGCTACACGCGAGATTTTGGTTTTGTTTCTCCTTGCCTTCTCCACCTCTTGCTTTGAGCAGACATCAATTTCTACACGACCAGATATCGAGGCGGATCTAAGCACTCGAGGGGTTTCTACAAACGGTCAGCTTGCGTTGAGCGCGCTCTGTGTGAGGAACACCACGGCGACCTACAATGCATTGATCACAGCCTGTGAGAAGGCTTCGCAATGGCAGGCTGGTGGGTCTAAACAAGCACCAAGCATGCTGCTGGATGATTCCCAGTGCAGAGCTCTGTCATACTCGGTTCCTCACATCCTGAATTTGGCAATCTATGCTCAATACAAGTAGAAGTGCACGCATAAACGGAACCCTAAAGCTTGTCCAGCCAGTTTCACAGTGAAAGGTATCACATTTGCACGCAGGCCTGATCCCTTAAGCGCAAGGGAATCGCTCATTAGAAACTGCCGTCCAAACAGTCCAAACAGACTTGCTTGTGACACTTGGCTGAAGATTGAGGAAACGTGTGCCTTCGGTGCGCGCCATCCCTGGTAGTTATCAGCCGTAGGTCTTTGTACGGTCTGCAGCTTTCACAATCACCTTTTACTTGGATCCCTCTGAAGAGCCTGTCGAGCTTATTGGGGACGTCCTTTGGCATTGTATACACTCGCCCCGTGGAGGTCGAAGGGGCTACAAACAGAAGCTGAGACACTCGAAGTCTAGAAGGTGGGCATTGCAGCAACATGTATCCTTTTGTGCTTCGATCAGACTGGCAGTGCGAGGCGGATTGGAAGTATACAAGTGCAGAGGTCAGTGTTGCAGGGAAGTCATTTCGAGCTCGGAAGATTGGGTGCCATATCGAATCTTCTTCAAGGAGCTTAGACGAAGGGATTTTGACGGGTTGCAAGTTGCAATCAGACACCAGAGATCCGCAGTGAAGACTTGCTTCAGGCCCTTCAGGCTTTGTTTGTGACCCGTGAGAGAGAAGGGGTGACAGGGCTATTGGCCACGGCCCCGCAGACTTCCAAAACCTTTTCGCTTCCGCGCTGCATTGACGACACGTTCGCGGCATACTTGCTGACTTTACGAAGGCCCAATATCTAAGATTGAATTGATAGAGTTGATCTAAGAATCCATCAGGTACACGTCAAATTGAGGAGGAAAAGCGCATTCTGAACGCGCTGAAGGGGTGGGGCCTTTCTTGCAGAGTGGCCGACACTGTCAATGATGTCCAGAGAAACAGTCCAAGCCGCAAGCGCCATTTAGTACAGATGTCATTGAAGAAGCAAGGGCCCGTCAGCATGTTAGCCTCACTCACCAGGTTCAAAGCCAAACTCTGAACCAGTTGAATGTTGCAGCGAGCCCAGTCATTGTTGCAGAGGCTCACCAAGAGATCGCTAGGGCGAGGTTAGAGACTCAAAGGGTAACTGTTTTTTAGTTGATAGTGCAGTTAGGGAGGCCAACCAAAGAGCAGCTTTGATCCAAGGAAATTCGCAGCGTAACTGGCAGACCTCGAAAGAACCAAGGGTTGAGTTGGCAAACCAGCCAGCTAGTATCGCAGTAGGCCAGATCGAAACAGAAGCTTTGGCCTCAGTCCGAGCAGTCCAACCCCAAGCCCAGCAAAATGGAAGAAGCTTTATGAATGGCTAGGCAAGAGACCTGTGCATGAAGGCTTTTGTTGAAAAGGCTCATAGGGAAGCAAAGGGGGCAAGCTGAGGTGGCAAACCATGGGTTGCAGATGCCCCCTTCGTTTGCGTCGCCAAGTCGAAAGCTTCGTGGCACGGAGTTTCAAGTCATGTCTGCTGTGCCTTCAGGAACTTCGAGCTTGGCTTTATCCAAACAGCCCATTGCTCAATGAATCAGAAGCCGAGTTGCTTGCAGCAACAGCCAATTTTCTGGAAGGCGGAAAGAACACCGATACGGGAAGCTTCGACTAAGGATGCACAGGAGAAAAGACAACAAAGAATTCACGCAAAGCTCGTGAAAAGTGCAGAACGTGCTTTGAGTTTTGTTGCTCCAAGAATTGCAGGATCGAGGGATACGTTGGACCAAGCTGTCATGCCTAGTGATATGGACTGCTTCCATACCGTGTGGACGATGTGGTCTACTTGGTTGTCAGCAATACGATAGAGATCCCAACAAAAATCATCAAAGGTCTCTCAAGATTTTTGAGGAACTTCATCACATGTGCTGAGGTCATCAGCAAAGTGATGGTCATTGTTTGGACTGGCCCAAATCAGTAGAGGGATGGAAATTGTCTGAGTTGCTGCAATTTGTGAGCAAAATTGCTTCCAACCACAGGGATGTGCCTTTGTATGTGTGTCAAGAACGAGGTTCCATGTCTCAAAAACGTGGAGAAGTGTGACTTCTAGTTGGAAGCTGACGAAGAACTCAAATGCACACCGATGCGTGAAGGGCTTCCAGCATGCTCCTTCGAAAGGGAGCGCAACTCTTGAAAGCGCCTACTACTCCACGCCTGTGGCACGATGCGTGTCCTGGAGTCTGTATGAGACCGATTTTCCAGCCATGCCAGTTGAACTTGTGTTCGCACCAGTGGAACATGAAGAGTTCAAAACCGAGGAAGTTTGGCAGCCATGCATTTGCGTTTGAACCGGAATGAATGGCGCCAATGTCCAAGTCGGGAAGACGCAATTCAGAGGCTAAGGGGGCGAACGGGAATAACACTTTGTCTTTTGATGAAGCAACCCCTAAGGGTGATCTCATTCCAAGGCCTGAACCAAAGGGTGAAGATATCAACGTTGGCAAGCTCATGACAATCTTGTCAATAAAGAACTACGAAGCCCGAGAGTTTAGGAATCTGAAGGCCAGAATTGTGATCAGGGGGGACGACAACAGAAATGCAGACAACACAATTTGCAGTATATACTTCTAAAGCCAAAAGTCAATCCGACTGGACTTGTTTATGGGGCTCTGCTTGAAACTGCCACCAATCATGCTTCGCGCAAAAGTACCGACATGGGTCGAACGTCCAAGAAACAAACTGAAGAACTGACGCCGAAAGAGTTTGCGCGTCTGGAGCGACCAAGCGCTCGCTTAGTTCGAGCGCGGCGCGGGCGTCCGGAAAGCGGGTGGCGCTGGGATTGGCGACTCAACGCATAACGGGTTCTATGGGTGGATGACTCTAAAAGCAGTTTTGGCTTCCAAACACAAAGCTGTCAATGACTTTGTATCTAGATGACATGGTGTGTCAGGACCTTCTTCAGAAACAAAAAACTGGAACAAGACCCTGTTGACCAAATTTTGGACGGAAACCTGACGTATCTCTTCTGGGGACCTACTGGGATGCCACCAGCCGAACTAGCGGACAGCGCCTTGCGGATCCTTATCAAAGTCTTGTTGGCGGCCAGTTAATGTCAACCCGACCTCATTGGCGACCTAAGGACCTAACCAAATGATTGAGCTAATGGAGTGTCCCAGATGACAAGCGCTTGCTCCAAAGCAGCGGCGCCCTGCAGCGGCACCCTGCAGCGGCACCAATATTACCTCCCTGGGCAAGTCGGTCATTGACTGGATTTGGGGACGAGATATAGTGAAGTGATGATCATCATGGTGGAGACCCGTCTCGATGCCCCAAAACACCACAGCCTCTGCCAATACTTCACCACGAATCCTGTCATACTGACACATCGCCGCAGGAAATTGTATGCCACCACTTCACTACTTCTGCTAAAGTGATTCAACACATCAGGTAAATAGTTGTTCTGGATGCAATTGAGTCCAAAAAGTTTGGTCAGCAAGAACAAGGAGACTCACAGGATAGTAGCAGCGCCCAGCCTTCAAAAGCACAAAGGGCCATAGACATCTCGCAGCAGCCGCCTGGAGCGGCGCCCTGCCAGCGGCCAGCGGTCTCAGCACGCAGGCTCTACAGCCGACGCGGCCACACACACTTGGCAGCTGTGCCCTGCAGCGGCACCAGCAACGCGCACACAAGCACCTCTGTTTAATCTTGAAGTAAGAGCCAACAGTTCCCGCCATCTGGGGAAATGCCCACGTGCCATGGCATAGCAGCCGCTAAAGCGATCCAGGCACTACTCAGGCCTTAACTCATAGGATCGTGACGTCCCATGAGAGTAGGTGCTGTGCATTACTCAGTGTGACCCTGATCTATGAAGTGGAAACTAGCACGTTGCTAACGTAATCATGAACCGACAAGATCGCGCACTCAATCAACCAAGCAACCAATTGAACCAGCCGGCTGGCCAGGAAACATTTCGGCAAATCGATCAAACAGCCAAAGCATTGGCAAACCCAATGAAGCACAGAAACAATCAATCGAACCATGGATCAATCAAACGGTCGATCAGCTCAATAGGCGCAGCGAACCTCTCATGCTAGTGAGGAAAACAAAAGCCGGTCCTGAGCTTCTTAAATCAACGTTTGACAGCCCCCATACAATGGAAATAATCACAACTCCTTTCATGGCCAAACTTACCCTTTTTGGTAGATTTTGCAGATGACTGTCATGCAAATGGGTGCGGAGATGAAATGTTTCAGCGACTTGCGCGCTGCATGTCCTTGCAAGCGTGTTCCATACGCTGAACCAGCACAAAACCCGACTGTGTTGTCGATCTTCCACAAGAAAGGCTGCCCTGATCATGTTCGCCGCCGCGGTCATGCCGGATTCTGTGAGCTGCGGAGCAGCCATCAGCGCGTGTGAGAAGGGCACACAGTGGCACCAGGCGACGGCAAAGTATTTGTCACTGGAAGAAGGTGCAGTATTTCTTGACTACTTAAGAAACACCAATGGCCCAACTGTGAAGTTTCAGTCCCATCATTGAGCATCTCATTAACAAGAAATCGTTTGCAAAGAATGCAAGAAGATAACCATAGGATTCGGTGTTATTCTTTGTTTCTGTGAGTGAGGCGTTGCACCTCCTCAGCCGTTGGAAGAAACTGCCTGTGCCTTTTGAAAGAAGCCGCTCCCCATTTCCTTTGCACGTGTCGCAGCCCAACGAACGTAGAGACCAAACTTCGTGCAATTTCGAGTGCTTCCAGGACGACCTACTTCGAGTTTGAGGATCCGGAGTCGAAGTCTCAGACTTGTTGGCAAGTTCGACATGAGAGTTTTACAGGTCTCGACTACAAGTTCTACAGGTTGGATAAAATAAGATACTCTGTTTATCTCTGTTTCCTGACATTTTTTGCAGGGTATTCCAGGGAGTGAAATGTATTCATTAAGTCACCATTGGCAGACTGAGAAAGAATGCCAAATCAATCCAAATCATCACAAGCCTGTTCCAGTCATGATTGGCAAAGTAAGCAGCTACACACAGCCACACACACACATGGAGCCACTTATGCTTGGACACTGAGCCCAACTTGTTTCCTCCTTTTGCATGTTCAAAGGAACACTACCTCTGTCATTGCCATCCGCGGAACAAGCACGATGTTGGACGTGTTGGTATTCTGGCAGATTTGTCGCTCCCGTTTCGCTTCAGAGCTTGTGGGTTCAGTTCCACATGCTTGTGCATGAACACCAGTATGATATCAGGCTTACTTGCTTACTTCCACGGTGTGCTCGCCAGGACGACATGAACATTTGGTTGCCTGCAGCGTTCATGGACGCTTTCAGCATTGTGGGCCCATACCTTAAGGAATTGTCAGCTCAGCACCGTATTACTGTCCAACACAATTCGATGGTAAAATCTTCATGACTCCACAACCATTTAGGTGCGCCCTTTGTTCCTAGTAGCTTCTTGTTACTAGTTACTAGTAGTGATGCCAGGAGCTACTAGTAGCGTCCTTGCTCCTAGTAGCGATGCCCTTTGTTCCGGGCTTGTTTATGTTCTGTCAACATTGCGGTCTCCAGCATGTTTTTCGATAACAGAGAATGGCTCGAAGCATCGCAGAATGCAATGAGCTAGTTAGGAACTTGAATAATCTCGAAAAGACAGGCTGATTTCCTCTCAAACCAGGGTAGACCACCACGACATTCTGCACCTGAAGGCAAGTAAATTCAGCCGGAAAGCGTGGAATTCAGGTGTTTCAAACAGCAAGATGAAGCTACCTGAAACCACTCAAGCTGCCAGAAACGAAGATGAGGCTCAAGTTTACAATTCACAGCTTCCATGTCCATGGCTGTTCCATGCTTGGACCTGGCATGGCTACCGCCTCCTGGCGAGTCTGAGCCTGCCCAGGACTCCTGACAGATGTAGCTATGAAAAACTCCAAGGGAGCTACTGCAAGCACTTTTAACCAAGCACTGGAGCTCAGTATGGGTGACAACTAGATTGTAAATTACCACTAGCCAAACTGCAGGGGTTCACTGTCGTTTGATAGGGGTGTGTGAGAGCCTCGAATGCTTTTGGCTGGTCTCCTCTCTACTCCTTGCTGTAATATCTCTAGATCTCTATATACATACATATCATACACCCTTAACTTATGAACAATAACATCTTTGCAGGCCGAGGAGCTGGCATCTGCGCTGGATGCTGCTTTTGGTCCTGAAGGCCTTGGTTTGGTGTGCGTCACTGGAGACGAGGAGACGAAGGGACGACCAGACGACCAGATGAGACGAATCCATTGGGGCAGACTCCATCCAGCTCCGAAGATCTTCGTTCAACGATGGCGAAGGAATGAAGAGGGACTCACTGAGGCCACTCGTGTTCAACCAGGTTTGCTTCGCAGAGGAATCCAAGGGAAATTGTTGTGTCCTATGTGGGTCTGCGATTGGTGGGGTGATTGCGAGGACTTCCAAGTGCTGATCCGCCGCTTGCGGCTGGAGTTGCTGCCCTTGGCGCAAGACCTGGCCCGACTTCCAGAGGAGTCCAAGGTCATCGCGAGAGTAATGGGAGAAGAGTGGGTAGAAAATGTAGAAATCACCGAGCAACCTTCTTTTGCATTTTCACAAAATTGGGGGCACGAGGCACCAATCCAGAACATGTTTGCATTTCTTTTTCAAGCTACACGGGAGCCAATTTCTTGAGGAATAGAAAAGGTTGAATGCGCTTTGTGTTGATTTGAGCCACCTCAAAGCTTTCACATAGACTTCTTGTTCAGGATGCTATCCGCGAGAAGGGGACTCTGAACGTCAACAACTATTCCAGAGGCATGGACATCATGGAGAAGGGACACAATGACGGTGTGCAAGACAAGTTAATGTGGGCACATTCCTTGAATTCTTGAATAGGTGTTGATGGGAACCGCACCGGCTTCTACTTTCATCCAGCGCTTGACAATCCAGCTGATTGCTTGCCGCCGGATGTAACATCAGAGCCAACCTTCTACACGCCGAACCTGTGGCCAGACAAGGACTTTGGATCCATTTGGCCTCTGTCGAAGCGCAAAGTCAAGAATTTGGGTATGCGCAGGGATGAGTTGTTGCATGAAGAAACATCTATTTTTCGTGTGCCGCAGCTTCCAGATGCAGGATCTGCCGCAGCTTCGATCCTTGGCCCGGCAATGTGCACCCCGGCTGGTTGAGCTGGGCAGGTTGCTGGCCGCTGCCGTGGATTGGCGGTGCAGTCAGGCGACGTGAATTGATGAGAAGAAAGACGCGTTGTGTTTGGGGTTGGGAGTCCGTCATAATACGTCATATGGTCCACATGACACAAGGTTGATGTGGGTTTGGATGGGGTTGGGTTGATGTATGTTTCAGATTTGACTTGTCACAATTTAGATGGTTGGGTCTACTTGTTGTGCTTTATTTTCTACTGCTACGAAATCCAGAGGACTGTGTAGTTCGTCACAACTGACTGGTTCTACCTCTGACCAGCTGGAGGTTCTTCCGGGCTATCGACCGGGAACGCTTCGAGAGCTGATCGCTCCTGCTGAGAAGTGCAACCACAAGTGCCGACTGATTTGCTACCATGAAGCTTGCACTCAACAGCTAATTATTTGCAGAACATCTAATTTGACTCAGAAGCACTTGGAGTTCTTGGAGTGTTCCAGGAAGATATTGAATATTTGTCCGCCTGTGCGGTACAGTCCGGGTTCTTCAGGTTAGTTATGTATGTGTTATTTGTTTGATTGTGGTAATTTGTTTCGCAGCCTGTAGCTTCCGGAAGTTCCTGAAGACAAACATAACATAATCCTGCCGCAACCAGCCTCACTGCAGGATTTTGACACACCAGAGCAGTGTGCAGCCTCCAAAGGCATGTGGGCACCACCACACAAGGATCGTGTGTCGGCACTTCCAGCTTCATGACCATGACGAGACCAGCGAGAAAATGTGAGAAAAACATATGAAGATGAACTATGATGAACTAATGCCAGGACACTGGGCTGCTCACCGTCCTCGTGCCAGGGATCTTTCTCGATAGTTCGGGCAAGCAGATGGCTTGTCCTGACCCGGAGGTAGGCCTTTACGTGAGGAACAGGACAGGGCCAGCCAGGGAGTTTGGGAGGAAAGACATCTTCGCAATTCAAGAAGCTTCCGCGTTCGTTTGCACTCGAGGAAGGGCAAGACCATTCAAATTCAGAAACCTGATGGAGTTGGTGAATGCCTTTTCTTTCAGGTGGGAGAGGCTCGGGCGGCTGGTGAGTGAAAGGTCAGTTCGCTCTGGAGTTCTTGGCTTTTCAATTCCGCCGTTTGGAGTCTGGAGGCTTTGCAAATTGTCTCTGGTGGACTCTACCACGCAACAGAGCATCTCAGCTTCAGAATGGTGATTGGTCGTCTGTGAAGGTGTTTGTATTGAAGAACTTGATAGTTCTTTCGGGAGCTTGGCAGATATTGTTGAGGCATTGTGTTCGCGGACCTCCGAGCCACGGCAGAGGCTTTGCAATGGGGTCTTGGTTTTGCTTGTACTGTAAGTGTGCTTGGAATTCTTTGACTTGCTGTCCGGGAGGTCTTCAGGCAACCCTCTTTTCGAACTTTGTTTGGTTCTTCATCTGGGAAGCGCACAAAACTAAAGAGAACTATCTCAAACACTCTCCATGTACACAGTGCACCACCAAAAGGTTCTCTAGGCTTCTAGCCGCGTCTAGCCACATCAAACCTTCTAAAAGGTTATCCTGCCAAGGAGGTCCAAGCAAACCACCAACAAAGGACAAGAAATGGGCACTAGGTGATCCACACCCTGTACAAACAGGCTACGCACTATCTTTCGCAGGAAGGGCCCTAGGAGATCAGACGAAGATCCTGGAGCGGTTGATCCGGGATGATGTGACGATCGCAGGTTCTGTCGTTGGTTCACATCGGTCTGGATCTGAAGTCGGATGCAGGCTACGAGAGGGCCACCTTGGCAGTATTCCTGCAGCCGCACAGCCATGAGGCACCTTTCATCAACCTTCAATGGGCAAAGATTCACCCATTTCCCGCAAGGAGCTGCGGTTGCCCGATGGCGTCTCTATGAAGGAGGCCACAGTTGAAATTCACGGATGGTAGACACATGTAGAAACATTTGTTCCGGGCTCTGTTTCGTTGCAGACGTTGTTGTTGGTTTTCAAGTCAGCAGTGTCCTTGCAAGGTTGCCGACCGTGCCTGCGACCCATTGTTCAGGCGGGAGGCTGCATTGGTGATGTTGATCGACTGTCGCAGGCGAATGGCAGGTGTGCAAAAGCGATTGGTCGGGCTCGCACCGTCTCCGTGATCGTCGGACGTGGTAGCTTCTTGCTACTAGTAGCAATGCCCTTGTTACTAGCTTCTTGTTACTAGTAGTAAGGCTAGGAGCTACTAGTAGCGTGCTTGTTACTCGTAGCGATGCCTAGTAGCTTGAATCCTGTCCGCCAGGATGTTCCTCCTTTACCAGCCCAAAGATGTGAGAGGAATGAATTTCCTGCACTTCTGCCAGCGTGAAGGCTTCTAAAATAGCTATGTCGACCTGCCTTGTAGGCAAACATGGGTCTTGGTATTTTGGACATGGCCACATGGCAAGAGCTTGAGGCAACATGTGTGTTTTCTTTCTGGAATGTTGTTGAGGTCCAAAGCTCTCGGATGCAGTTGCAGAGGCCACTTCGATTCGAATCCATTCGCTCGTCCTGGCTGACCCGTCGATGGGACGAAAGGCCATGGCCCGGGTGTCCACACCCATCTACTCGGATGGCCTCCAGAAGCAGTGCGCAGATGGTCGCAAAGCGTCCTTTCTGCGCAAAAGAGATGACCACATCGGTTTGTCAGGTACTTCTCTCATTTGCTAGAGGATGTGCAACGACGCCGGGACCAGTTTCCAGAGAGGCCACACAGAGACACATTTGCCTTGTATGATCTATCCGTTTGAAGAAACATATTCCGATATGTTCTGCATTCAGTGATTGGCCTCAATTTAGACTTGCCATCAGTCTCTACGCTTTTATAGTCTTGAAACAATTGTAAAGTGAAGGATCCCACGGAGAAAGAGCAATTTTCATGCTGCGCCACTGTGCCTGAAAGCACGACCTGAGCATGTTGGCCAATTCTTTCGATTATGGAATCACACCAGAAGGATCAGAGTCAGTGCCACTGCGATTCCTGCTTGTTGGATGCAGCATAGCGGCCAGCCAACTTGAAGTGTCGACATTTCTGTGAACCGTGTTTTTTGGCCATCCCATGTTTTGCAGTGTTGGACGTGCGCAAGCAGCGTTTCAAGGCGTTTGTACATCACCGGCCACTCCTTAGGGGGTGGTCTGGCCAAGTTGGTGGCTGCCAAAGTCGGCATTCCAGTGTGGCAGCCCGGACGAAACGGTGAGTTCAGCTGAAGTCAAGTCATCCACAGACTGGCAGAGACCCTTCAAATCCCGTAGGGTGATCAGCACATGAGGGATCTGAGGTGTTGACTCAAAGCCGAATAATCATGTGACTGTGATAGTCTGGGATTTGGTTGCGCAAGTGCTCCTTAGGCTGTGACCTTCATGGCACCGGGGTTGGAATCCACCAGCTATTTGGTCTTCCGGCAGAACATGATTCAGGAGATGTTGATTCCGACACGCTAAGCAACATCCGGAAAGTCGATGTCGTTTTTTTCATTAATTTTTAGCAGGGGAGCGGCATGATTGTGGGACCCCACGCAACGAAGCTACTCGTACCACAATTATAATTAAGGAATACCGAGTCTGATCAACTCGAGGTACCTGCGCCTGAGTTGTGAATGTTTTAGCCACTCTCCAATCGTAGATGTCCTCAGGCTGTTGCAGGATTCAGGTCTGCAGATGTGCACTCCTTGCTAGTCGACTCTCGGTTTTCACTTTTCGAGAACATTGAGATCTTTGAGCCTTATGGAGGCCTTCATGTTCAGACCGCTTACATACCTTTTCCCTGTCCCCTTGGGCTTTCATACCTAGGTGGGCGTGTGGCATGAAGCATTAAATTCCGAGCGCAATATCCTGAGCGTGTGAACACCTTGGATTCATAGATTGCCTGTTGGTGTTTTAAGGTTTCTTGCAGGGCTAGCGGCCCATTTCTCGACGCTAGCCAACGAACCTGTGGACGTGCAGACTTGTACTTGCTTGAGAACACACTGACTCCTATGGTTCCCCTAGCTCAGGCTGTTTCAGGTCAGCCAGGTTGATGTAAAGTGGCCACGCACTCTGCTGCAGTCATGCGCTCGTCCACCAAGCCTTTGAGATTCACGCGGCCAAGCCTTTCAGATTCACGGGCTCAAGGTTTTGAAGGTTTACATACATGTTCACCCTGGTCTCTTACGCTTACGAAGACGAACTTGGCGACCCTCCGCCGTCCTCCTTCTTTGTCCGTTCAAACACGGGGAAGGAAGGCGGCAACACTCTTGTGGTAGTGGAGGCTGCGTCGAAGACGCTGCAACAGTGGCGGCAAGTGTGGGATACCCTGATGGCATCGGCTGGCTGGTGGCAAACCGAATTCAGTTCCGTATGCATTTCCTGGTTTTAATTCCAGTTCATGGCCCGGACAAGCGATTCTCGAGCAGCTTCTCAATCACCACGAAGACACAAGTTGCAGCAGAGAAAGAGTTGCTCATTTGCCTTGTTCTGGTGTGCAGCTTGGTCGCGCTTTCTTGACCTCGAGCCTCGTGTTGTCCTTTTGTACCCTGTTGTTGCCCCGCGGCTGCCAGCCACTCTCCAGGCCTTATGCCTTATCCTCCTGTTGTCATTTTTTTGTCCTCTGTCTTCTGCTTGTCCTCCTGTTGTCCTCTTCTTATCTCCTGTTGTCCTTGTGTCCTTCTACTGGTGTCCAGATGACAGTGTGGCAGCATCAAGACATGACGCCGCCAAGGGCAATCAAAGGGTCCAATGCGAAAGACACTCGTGGACCTACTGGGAAAGCGCCTGCCGGCCTGCCGGCAAGCGCGAAGACTGCAGTACCGCAGCATGGCCACGTGGCAGCCTGTCAGCCTGTAAACATGACAACGCGCGAGCGCGCCCTACAAAGCGGTGAGTCCTTTCGGTCCTGTCCTCCGCCAGCCTATCTCCGGTCGTGCTCCTCCCATCATGGTCTCGTTCCTCTTCTCCTCTTGTTCTCCTCTTGGCATGCTCCCCTCATGTCGCCCCGCTGTCCTTTTGGCCTCTTGGTGTGTTCGTGTTGTTTTCCTTCCCTCATCCTTTTGAAAGTCCTTTGTTGTCCTTCTCATGTCCTCGCCTGGTCTTTCTGTTGTCCTGCTGCTGTCGTGCTGTTTACATTGCTTTCCGATGCAGGGCGCTGGGGCTGCGGCCGCCCATGACAACAATGGTTCTTGCCAACTATATAAGCTGTTTGGGGTCTATGCTGGTGTATTTCTTAGGAAGAGGGGCACCGTCCGCCCTTTCTTCATCGCCTTGTCCAGGCCATATCCGGGCTCGGGTGTTTTGCTTGGCCGCGCCGTCCAGGCCTTGTCCGGGTTTGCGCGTCCTGCGTGGCCGCGCTGTGGGCAGTCCGGGCCTTGTCTAGGCTTTGTCCGGATGCCGTGGGCCTTTTTTCCTTCGCTGTGTTTGGGCTTGATCTGTGTGTCCTGCTTGTCCGGCTTGGCCGCGCTGCTTTCCCTTTCTCCACCGCCTTGTCCGGATTGTTTTTTGGCACTGAATGCATTTCTTGTGATATCTTCCTGTTCACCAAAGAACATTGTTTTATGTGTATACATGACATGTTGTTTGCAAGCAGCTGGAGGCTACAGGATCTTAATTAGATATGTTTCCAGCAACACTTGAATACAAGGAAGTCACACCCAAAATCCTGCTGAAACTGTTTGGGTCCATGCTGGTATGTTTTGCAAACTAACCAAACTGAAATTGTTATCTGTCTATGATGTCTATGAAGCCCAGATTGCTATGAGGGGATGCAAGATCTTCAATCTGCGCAGACATCGGGACTGTACAGATTATCGCAATCGCATGTCACCAAGACTGGAGTTCCAGGATCTTCACAACGTTGCCCTCACAGTCATGCCGGACAACGACGTGGTGTCCAGGGTTGGCTCACCCAGCTTTCCCAGCAGATTCAACAGGCTTGAAGACAAGCATCTTTTGTGCCCAGAGATTTAAGGTGGATATTCAGAGTGGCATCACCATCAAAACAGAGTGCGAAGGCAATATGCTCCACTGCCGGCAACCTAGACACCTTACTTCTAGAATCTCGGCTACAACTTTCCGGACTGTGCAAACGTCCTACGGATGTTTCAGGTCACCTTCTCTATCCGACCATTTGCAACTTCCTGGACAGATGCGGGCCTGCCGCTCAGCTAGTGTGCCTTGCAGCCGCTCAGATGATTTGAACACATGGCAAAGCATAAAGCATGGCCAGAATGCGGGAAGCCGCCTGACAGAGTCTCCTGGTGCGATGCACTGCTAGAGACACTTGCAGTAATTAGTTCAACAGATTTCCCTTTTGGCTTCATTCTTTTTACTGTAACGACCAGGTCTGGTCGGCCTCCAGCAGAGTCGCTGTATCTTCCCTGTGGCGCGTGCGGTGCCCGGATGCTCCCGCTTTCTGAGTGGAGCAATCCGAAAATCCATGGCATGCAGCCACTTCACTTCCCTTCCAATGTTTCAAAGTGTTTTGCAGAGAAATTCTGTGAAGGGAATTTGATGTAGTGCCCTGGAGGTGTGAGGACATGCCATGTGGCTGAGGCATGGCAGCATGGCACATATTTTTGCAACTTTTCCACAAGCCGTACAAATCCATCCTATTTTGGCTCGGACTTGGCGCTTGGAGATGTAGACCGTCCTTGTCAGAATTTGAACTCAAGCCTCTGAAAACGGAGGCCAAAGATCAAGTGCCATGAAGAGAATGGATTGAGGGAACTCTGCAAAAAAAATCAGATTCACATCTGGACAACTCATGCAAACAGCCCCATGCCGACGTTTTTTAGCATTTCTTCTTCGGATTTCAAGGGCCACTTATTTGACACATATCATCACGCATTTGCTTCTGCCACAAGCGGGCCTCAACGACTATGATACAGGGAATGTTCAGTGATGACTTTCTTGTGAGAAGCCTGGCTGGAAGAGAGATGAAAAGAGGCTTTCAGGTTTGATCCGTTCCCCAGGAAGATGAGGAAGGCTAGGAGGGCGGCTGTACACCACATGTAGTCAGTTGTGCAGTGGGTGAAATGTTGTAACTAAGGAGCCTTGCTGGAGCCTTTGCTGCCTCATGGCCCTGGCATTTGCGTTTTGGGCAGCTGTGGCCCTGGATAGACGACGCTATTGTTGGTTTGGAGGTACTCGTCCTCTTAGGATCATGAAATTGCATAAGAGCACAGCCTTCAAGCTTCAACTGTAGATGCTCATGAACCAGCTATATAACGGCCTCTGAAGCAAATCGTAAATCGTACCTGTCTCGATCGGTCGATTCCCTAGGACTAGCAGCTTGCTGCACTACGTGGCGAGCCACTGTAGACAGTGCCGCCAGGTGAGGTTGACGATCTCCATAGAAATCCAGTTGTTGAGTGGTTTTCGCAGTTCCTTCTTCCGTTTGATTTGTTTTTATGCTTCATTGACTCATTGTATATAAGTAAAGAAACAGCAATTTTACTATTCCTTTATCACCCATTGTGAGACCAATTTGGTGAGTTTATTATTGTTCTGCCATGTTCTGCCTTATGCAATGCACAGTTCTTCTTCCTGTTGTTCCGTGCTTTTTTCATCCTGAAATCTGGCTTGCTCTAAGTTGGTTGCTTTGAATTGGGCGTGTCTTCGGTCGCTTCAGATGAACTGTCTTCCTTCTCTATTCAGATAAATACTAATCAATTCTGGGTGTTGGTTTCTTTCTCTGAGCACCAGCACTTGTGGACGGCAGCACATTGGCAAAGGTGAGACTGGCACAAGAAAATTGATGTTTGGTTTGCATAGGTGAGTGGACCTGACCCTCTCCCCAACAACCGTTGCAACCACTCATCAACAAAAAATCACTTTCCAAAGACTTTTGCCGTTGCTATGTTTGATCGCCGGAGGTTACCTTTACAGCACAATTAGACCCGGACTCCCTGACGGGACTCCGTGACTGAAGCCCTTTTGCTCAGGCAGGCCACCAAACGTCAATGTCCCCAGGCTGAGCCTCTTTTGACCAGGCTGACCAACTGACCGGCGCGGTCTGCAATGCTTGGTCGATTCCTGCACGAACAAAGTCAAAATCAGAAACTGACCAGGGTTCTAGTTCCAAAGGCCACGCTGACCACCCTTGTACCGCAAGGCCCTACCTGGCGCATTGGGCATTGATTTCAATTTTGGAGAAGAATCCAGAGGCGGTCCAAAGGGTTTTGTCGAGCTTCAGTTTGCATAGTCAACTTGGATGCATGACCTTGGGTCTGGATCCCACTGAGGCTTTAGAAGTTGTCAACCAAGCCCTAATGACAGAGGGCGACAGCAGCGCTCGCTTCTAAGCGGCCTTCCGTAGCGACAGACATGGACTAACGACTGGTTGAAGACTTGTGGAAATGACCTGAAGCAACTGTGACCTGCTTCCGCCATTATCAATGAGGTCTCACAGCCGCTTTCCTGCGCGCGAGCAAGACAAGCTGTGAATGATCTTACAGACAGGCACTGTCCAGTGCCGATTTGAACGCTCACGAGAGTGCCTCTTTCCTCCGATGGTGTGGAGAGTGCATTATGTAGTTGAGACATCTCAATAGGTCCACAACATTTCACCACTAACTAACCGCTACCAGATGGTCTGCTTTTCATCATCGCCCCCATCAGGTGCCCTGTGTGCCAGCATTGCCCTACTGCCCGAGTACTCGGCGCAGAGGGCCCTTTGGAATTGCTGCCACTACAGCGGAACTTGCATCTCGGCCCTGAGTTAGTTGGACCAGTCTCGAAAGATCTCAGAAATGACTCGAAATCACTAAGTTGCAGAAACCTTGCGCACTCGAAATTGGGTGTCCTTCGGATGTCCTTATCGAAATCGATCCGAAACCAGGCTTCGGCGCCTAGCCTTTGATGCTGGTGCGACCCGGGGTGGGGTCCACCTAGCTCAGCAGGCGGTATCGAAGGCTGGCAGTTGGCAGATGTGACGCGGTGAACAAGCACTTGGCTGTCTTTCTTTTGTTTTCTTGGTGTCCAACTTTCATGGATTTCATGAAACACGGACTTCACGCCGTTCAATTTTTCTACCTGGAAAGAGGCACTTGCACAGCGAAGTCCAGCCTTGCGAGAGGTGGGATCAAGCTGTGGAGCTGTCGCTCGCTGTTATTGTCGCACCAAGTGACAATGTGAGCACAAACGCCTGCAAACGAGGTGCTTTTGGACGTAGCAGAGCTGCTGAACTTGCGGGCATATGCTCGAACATACGAGACCTAGCTGCATCAAGAAGTCAGGAGAGGATGGTCCAGCGAATTGATTGTGAGTTTAGAGCTCTTGTTCTGCACAAGAACCGTGGTGTGGCAACGGCATTCATCCTGTTCGAGACTTTCTGTCATTTTGTTGAGCCAAGGTTAGCTCCAGGCCACGTGTGTTAACCGAGCTTGAGGAGGCTCGAATCAGAACAGTACTGTATGGAAATGGTAAGCAACAGCAAGCAGCAGGCAGCAAAGAGGGAAGAAGACTATGGGGCCAAATGGTTGCGAAATGTTCAATCATGTTGAATCAAGATTGGGCTGAACAATCCTGAACAGTTTACAAAAGGGGCAAAATAGCCACAGCTCCATGGGGCTTGTCGCTTGTCTCAACACGATGGGGGACCTACAAAGCCCGGCTAACATACTGTACTTTTTTGGGATCTAAGTTGAGCTGAGAGACCCATAGGGATCCCCGTTGACCAACGGTCAGTTCCAGGCACTGCGCCATGCTGCTGATGCCATGGACTGCCCTGACGAGCCAGATGCACCGGGCTGTGCGACTGGGACCTCGCTCACTCCTTTGCGAGGTGCGGATCTTCTGGATTTGAACATTGGGAGGGATTCAGAATGGCCCAAAGTGTGACATCAGGAAATAATGGCAACAGAGAATATAGACGCATATTGCAGTATACAGTTTATATTCAAACAATATGACCAGTGGAACCCAAGCCTCCACATTTCCATGTTTACACAGTTTACACACCTGGTTTCTTAGCGAAAGCCAAGTATACATGAAAGGTTTCTGTGCTAAGATGGATGCTAGGCTTTCCCAGATCGCTTGGGGCCAGGCCTTCCCAGAGCTCGCCTTTGGCTTGGAAGAACTCTGAGCTCTGCCGCACATAGCCTCGCACTTTCCTTCATGCAAGGCTGGGGTCATAACCTGTGACAAGAAGATTAGGTCATAAAGAGAACCGCTCAACCACTCAATTCAAATGCTGCACACAGTTCTTTTTTTTTCCATCATCTCATTTTTCCCGAAAGCATTGCGAAGGGTTCTTCCGGAAAATCCTTTGAACACTGACACTTCGACACTTACACTTCGACACTCACACTTACACACACACACACACACTGGAAGAGCGAAAGCATCCAAGTGCGAAGTATGCCAGTGTCAAAGTATGCAAGTGTAAGTATGCAAGCATGATATGCAAGGGTGAGCATGCAAGCATGCAATGACTATGCAAGCATGCAATGAGTAGGCAAGTGTGAGTAGTGTGAGTATGGAAAACTAGCACGGGAGATGTCCTAATGAAAAAAACATTTCCCCACTTTATAAATTCTCTCTTAAAGGCGGAGTGCGGGACGAACAGCATCAACCGAAAGTGCAACCCTCTGCGGAGATCGTGCGTGTCGAGTGCGCGAAATGCAGGTGAGAGTGCGATTTGTCCGGTGTGCGCGCAACCCTTTGCGGAGATCGTGCGTGTCGAGTGCGCGAAATGCAGGCGAGAGTGCGATTCGCCGGGTGCCCGCGCAACCCTCTGCGGAGATCGTGCGTGTCGAGTGCGCGAAATGCAGGCGAGAGTGCGGTTCGCCGGGTGCCCGCGCAACCCTCTGCGGAGATCGTGCGTCTCGAGTGCGCGAAATGCAGGCGAGAGTGCGATTTGTCCGGTCCGCGCGCAACCCTCTGCGGAGATCGTGCGTGTCGAGTGCGCGAAATGCAGGCGAGAGTGCGGTTCGCCGGGTGCCCGCGCAACCCTCTGCGGAGATCGTGCGTGTCGAGTGCGCGAAGTGCAGGCGAGAGTGCGATTTGTCCGGTCCGCGCGCAACCCTCTGCGGAGAACTGGTGACTTTGTAGTACAACTTTAGTGCGCGGAGTATCTGGGGAGCTGGAAGATGAGAACTGGCGACTTTGTAGTACAACTTTAGTACGCGGAGTATCTGGGAAGCTGGAAGATGAGAACTGGCGACTTTGTAGTACAACTTTAGTACGCGGAGCAATCTGTGGAGCTGGAAGATGAGAACTGGCGACTTTGTAGTACAACTTTAGGACGCGGAGTATCTGCGGAGCTGGAAGCTGAGAACTGGCGACTTTGTAGTACAACTTTAGTACGCGGAGTATCTGCGGAGCTGGAAAATGAGAACTGGCGACTTTGTAGTACAACTTTAGTACGCGGAGTATCTGGAGAGCTGGAAGATGAGAACTGGCGACTTTGTAGTACAACTTTAGTACG